AAACTGGCAAACACCATTCCTCAGCATGGCCCTGCTTCACAGCCCACCAACAACAGGGGCCAGCCCCACCCACTCACAGCCCACCAACAGTGGGTACCAGCCCCACCTGCTCCACCTTATCACCCACAGGAGGCACAAACAGTCTTGTAAGGATGGGAAGTAGAATCTCACCAGGTTCTGGTATGCATTCCCCTAATGATTAATGACGCTCACTTGTTTGTGCCACTTTTACGTATCTTCCACAGTAGGGTGTCGGCTTAAATCTTTTACCACTTTCTTAAATGGGTGATGTATTTTCTTGATATGTGGTTCAGAGTTCTGTGCTCTCAACATACTCCAAAATCAGATAGCACTTTGCAAACACTTCGGCCCCACCACATGGCTCGTCTTCTCATCCTGACGTGTCTCTCCTGAAGATGGAATCTTTGTTAGTGAAGTCCCAGCCTCCAGCTTCCTTTTATTACCTGTCCACATGTTTTCCTAACCCAACGTCAAGTACCTTCTCCCACGCTTGCTCCCATAGTCGGTGAAGGTTTTGCTCTCACATATTCATCTCTGCTTTGACTTAACGCTCATGTGTTCTGAGGTTTAGTTAAAGGTTCAGGATTTGAGTCACCTGCAAATTCACCTGTGGCAGCACTGCCCGTTGAGACGATCATCCCGTCCCCCAGTGCATGCCCAGGCACTCCGCCAGTGCATGCCCAGGCACTCCGCCAGCTCTACTGGACGGCGGTTGGCTCAGGTGAGTCACACATTTATTCCTGCACCAGCAGATGCTCATCCTGACAATCCTAAGTTTATGGTGAAGTTATAAAATCCTCCAGCCTCTTCTGGGGTTAACCCAAGTCCTCTGCATTTCTATTTACATTTCAGGACTCACCCAACAACTCCTAAGAGACCCTGCCCTGCTGGGATTCAGGTAGGGACTGCAGGAGACCCAGCACACCAGCAGGGAGGAGTGGCCATCTGAACAGCCCTTACCCACGCTCGGTCCTCTCCTTTCCCCCAGTGCAGTGGCCTCCACAACTCTCCTGCAAATCCATTCCTAAGCAGGTTACTCGTTTCTGTGCTGCTGCAAATGGATTTCTCAAGTCCTACTTCTAGATTGTTCGCTTTGGAAACACAGGAATATTCCATTCCTAGTATTTCGTGTGTCGTTCTCATGGCCCATGGCTCTACTTCTCTATTATATTTCTTTGAACAGAATACTTTTCACTCTGTTAGTCATCAAGTTCTGACATCGCTTCATTTCCCTTTGACCCAAAAGCTGTAAGCCAAGTGGACAGCTAACCTTCAACTACCTTCCCAAGGCTTCTGCAAAACTACCCGTGGTGGCTCATCTCCACCATCCGGGCTTGAGCAAAGCTTACAAGTGCCACCTGGAAACCTTCACCTCACACCACAGTGGTGAAGCTGGTGGCAAAAATGGCCTTCTGCTTCCCACTCTCCTCCGGAATGCTGGGCGGGAGTGAACAAGCTGGTCACACCCAGGCTGTCACCTGCATCTATCAGGAAAGTTCTCCCACAGCCGAGCCAGGCTCATGTGCCCGTACCCAGCCTGGGCCGGCCCTGCACTATGACAGGAGCACGACTGTGACAGAGGCCATGGGTACTGCAAAGTCAGACCGCTGGGAGTGCTGGGCGAACCTGGTGAGAGCCGAGTGCTGTTAACGAAGTGATGTTAACGAAGGAGCATGAACGGCCTACGAAGCAGTGCAGACCACATGTCCCAGCCCCACGACCACTCGGTCACCGGGTAGCGCCCCCATGAGTGTGTTCAGCACCCTTCTGAAGAGCTGCCTCCTGCTGCCTCCAGGTGAGAAGAGCGAGGAGGCTGAGGGACCCAGCCACAGCGTGTCCAGCCCCCACGGCTGGGAGGAACACGCACATGTTGTTCATCCACGATCCAGACCACGGTTTCTGCAAGAGCCCGACACGCAGGATCCTCTGCCCCCAAATGTTCCCTCATCTCTGAGTTTTCCAGTTTCAGCCCCACAATAACCACAAAGCCTTTTTAAAATAGCACTGAATTCTAGGTGAAAAGTTTAAAGGTCACTTACCTAGACAGGTCAGATTATAACACAGCATGCGTCTGAGTGCTAACTACCAGGTGCTATAAAACTGAAACGTATTTTAAAGAACCTTAATTTATGCATCAATTTGCTTCAGGGAGAGACAGCATGTTAATGCTCACTATGACCACGCTAACATGGTAACCTACACTTTGTAACATGACGTTATGAACATCTCATGAGGAGTCCAAGAAAGAGAAAGTCAGGAGTGTTAAAACAGTACTCAGAGAAGTCCAAACCATCATTTTTAAAGACCTAAAACCCAGGGGTCTGTGCAGTGGTGAAGTGAGCTAATCCTCCACCTGCTAACATTTGGCATGCCATGTGGATGCCAATTCATACCCTGGCTGCTCTACTTGCAATTCAGCTTTCTGCTGCTCATAGCCTAGGAAAGCAGCAGAAGACGGCTGGAGTCCCTGGGCTGCTGTACTCAACTGGGAGACTTGGAGGAAGCTCCTGGCTTCAGCTCAGCTCAGCTCAGCTCTGGCCACTGTGGCCATCTAGGGAGTGAACCAGGAGATGGAAGATCTCTCCCTCTGTAAAAATTATCCTTCCATAAAAAAAATAAATAAATAAATAAAAAAGACAAATCCTGGCTGTTCAAAGAAACAGGAAACTTTCCAAAAGTTCCAGCCAATCTCAGTTACAATTTTATTCTGATCTGAAATCCACACAGTTTATCATTGAGTGCATTTTCCATAAACTTTGTGAAGACCCTCAAACATGACACAGACCATGTAAAGCTGACTAAAGCATACACACAGCATCATATTTATACATACACATATACAAGGGGCACTCAAAATCCTATGAAACATACTTGGGTGAAATTTCTTAAGTGAAACAGAGGACACGTAAGGCCACACGCTGAAAGAGAAGAGATTTTAAAAAAAATGACAACACAAACTCTCCAAGTGAGCCATGCACCTGTGGCGACTCGCCAGCACCAGCAATCAGCACTCTAACCTAACATAGAAACGCTGCTCCACACGCCTGCAGCTCCGCAGGCAGAGGCTGCCTGCTGGACCCAGCTCAGAGCACCGCCCACAGTCACGCACATGCTATGGGTCTGTGCCTTGTACCACGGTCAGAGCACCGCCCACAGCCACGCACACGCTATGGGTCTGTGCCTTGTACCATCATGAGGCTCCAAAACAGCCCAGGTGACAGAAGTGCTCTCCATTCACACTGGCTGATGTGCCCACTGAGCACTGGAAATGCAACTGGCCTAAGGAACTGATTTTCAACTGTAGTTCATTTCAAGCTCCACAGGCACCTGTAGCCAGCAGCTTCCACACTGAGAATGGCGCGGGACTAAAGTGAAACCTCAGAGCCTGCCTCTTCCTTCCAGAAAAGCCCAACAAGTCCCGTTCACTAGACGGCAAACACACTTTCAGTGAACTGATGACATGCCCTTCTGAGGCCCAGAAGAAACACAGGCAGCTCTTGGGAAATGCTGCTGGGACCTGGCACCTGTATCGCCTGAAACACCTTCCATGTATTCCTCCTCGTCTGATAAAAAGCTGAGACCGAACACCAAGAGCTTACACGTGCTCACTGGTAGAAGCAAGACGAAACCAGCAGGGCAGTGTCAGCAGAAGAGGACCGAGGAGAGAACCACAGAGGACGCCTTAGCCAGAGGGGACGCCCGAGCCACAGGAAACCTTAGTCAGAGGGGACTCCTAGGCACAGGGGAGTGGCCAAAGAGGCCAAATGCAGAAGGCACTGAGCAGAATGTAAGCAGAGTAAGCAAGTCTGAGCTATAGGAATGACTCCTGGCACAGGTGCATCCCGTGCATTCAGAATTGAGATCGGGGCTGCACCTGCTGTGACGCTCCTCTCAGACACGATGGCAACCCAGCAGGACCCAAGGGCACTGCTGGCCCTGGGTTCCCAGGGAGTGTCTTTACGCAGCTCCACTCCCACGTCACTCTGGCTCGGCTCCACAGCTCCTGCTGCAGACCCCCCTGGCCACACAGTTCCCATAAAGTCTTCTCTTCAAGAGAACGCTAGCTCAACAGGCATGCACTGGTGTTTGTTGCAGAGTGAAGCCCTACTGCAGGGCTGAGACACACTCTAATCACACAGCAGCCCCTGCCCCACCCCAGACTCCTCAACAATGTCTCCACCTTCCTTACTGTTCAGATCCGAGTGGTGCCTGACCTTCTAAACTGACCTCCCAACTCTGCCCAAACTCTGCTGTTTCACTACATCTCTCCACACTGTCATCTACAGACTCACCCTGTGGTGCTTCTAGTAAAAAATAATAAATTTATTTATTTGGAAGGCAAAGTTACATGGTGGGAGAGGGCTAGGCAGACCCACAGAGAGAGATCTTCCATCCTCTGGTTCACTCCCCAAGTGGCCTTATAGCAGGATCTGGGCTGATCAGGAGCCTGGAGCTTCTTCTGGGTCTCCCACGTGGGTTCGAGAGGCCCAAGCACCCGGGTCATCTTCCCAGGCTCATCGCCAGGGAGCTGGATCAGAGTGGAGCAGCCATGACTTGAACCTTCTGTATGCCAACCTTCTGGATGCCAACAATACAGGAGGTAGCTTTACCCATTAACACCACACCGCTGGTCCCCAACCAACGGCTCTTAATTGGAGGAAATTCTGCCTGACAAGGGGCATTTGAAACATGGAAATACCTGGAAACACTGATATTTGTTATAGCTCAGACAGTGCCACCAGCCTGTGACGGTGAGGAGACACAATGTTACCAAACACCATGCGTTACCATCTGGCCAGAACATGGAAAACCATCTGGCTATGAGGCCAACACTGCTGAGGCTGTACGACCCTGCTTAGTCAACCTTCACAGCAATTCTTTGGAAATGACCACAATTCAGAGTGACTCTCAGGGCCTGGAGTTCTGTGTCGGCCCGCAGCTTCCAAAGTGAAATGCGTTATTCATGGGTGACGACTCACTTGTGCATGCTTTCCACGCCGATGATGATCATGATGCAGTAGGAGACTCCACTTTGTACCAGGAAGTGTAAGGCATACCTGCAAACAGAAGGAGACGGTTAGAGGTGACACCTGTCTCCAGCACTGGCTTCTACCCACTGAGGCCCAACAGCACGTAGCACCCACAACAGCCCTAAGGACCAAAACCTCTGGAGTCCTGAGTGCTGGGGGACACCCTGGATCAGAGTAGTCCTGTGTTACAGGACCCAAAAGAGCTGGACAAACAAAACCCTGGAAGTCGCACTTCATGCACCGGCATCCCAGGTCTCCTGGGTACAGGGAAGCGGCAAGCGCCATGCGGCTCGGACACCACAGCTTCTTTACAATGACCTGAGCAGGAGCAACAACAGCTGATTCCAGAACAGTCCCTGAAACAAGGTCAGCTCTTCTCTGACTCTCTCCTAGTGCCAGCTCTGTGCACTGCCTTTTTCACTCCAACACTTCTTACAGAACGGCAACAGCACTGAGCACCTGCGAATCTGCCTGTCCTCAGGACCCTATGGCTAGGCAAAACCCAGGCACCTGGTGATCTGCCTCAGTGTGTCTAAAGCATCCTGACCAGCACGGATGGTCTCTTCCAGTATTCTAACATGCAGACATGGGATCAAGAGCCAAGGCATCCATTCATTCATTTCACAGCGTTCAAGCATGACAGTGTGAGGGTCTCGGGGGTTGTCACTGACCCCAGTGACGGTGCGTGGTGGCTGCACACACATGGACACGTGCTTACTTCTGATTTCCTTCTGCTTTGGTAGCATGAACTTAGGGTGAAACCTTCAGATCCTGACGCACGGCTTGGACTCTCAGTAAGGACCTGGACCTAGAGTAAAACTCACGGAACTCCATCCTGGTAGGACAACAGAAACCGCTGACGCGGGAGGATCCTCCCTCAGGAACACTCTCAGCTCCCAGCAGGCCTCAGGGCAAGCCTGTCAAAGCAGCGTGTTCTACTATGGGGCAGACCAGGCCCGTCTCTACCTCGGCTCTTCTCACTCCCTCACTCCCCCACACATGTGTACACACACACACACACACACACACACACACACACACACTTGACATGCTGCTGGCTGACAGGAAGTATAGGAAACCGGAGAAAAGGTCTTCGAAAAGTCCACAGAAAATGTCTGCTATAAACAAACTCTCTATGGGTCTCGAACATTGTCTGCACTAAATCAGACTTCCGCCCCCTCCCTCCACACAAAGCTGAAGACAGGATATGGGAGGCTCAGCTTCCGGGAGGCAGCCCCTGCCCTGCTCCTGCCAGCAACCCTGAGAGCAGAGCACGGGAGGGCACTTATTCCAGACAAGTGACAAGCACAGAGCAGGCGGGCTGCAGGGTGACACTGAACCTGGGGTACTCAGGGCCCCTGCTGCCTCACAGCTCGCAGCACCTGCTTCCCCAGCACTGCACAAAGACAGCTCGGCGACCTTAGGGGACTGCACACAGCTGGCCTTGGCCCTGGGGGTCAAGCACAGTACACAGCAGGCCTTCATCCCAGGGTCGAGCACGGCACACAGCAGCCTTGGCCCTAGGGTCGGGCTTGGCACATAGATGGCCTTGGCCCTGGGGTCAGGCACGTTCACCGTCTTGGCTGCACTGGCCTCTCTGCTGGGCACAGTGCTACAGCGCCACTCAGAAATGTGCCTGCATCCAGGGTAACACCTGCCTGTGTCAGTGAACTCGAACACACAGCAGCCCCTCGGACTCCACAGGATGAAACACTAACCAGCGACACACAACAACCACGCTACCTGGCACAGCGGCCACTCACTGTCAGCACTGTAAGGGACTCAACCTCCCACCTCAACGTAGATTTCTCATTCAACGCCCACCAGAGCTGAAGAAGCCAAGGACCTTAGGGTACAGCGAGTGTCCTGCCTGACCTTGACACTTGAGCTGGCCCTGGGCACCTGAGCCCGCGACTGATTCTTCAAGCGGTGGGCAGAGGACAGAGCGCCCACACCGCCACCACCATCCTTCATGCTGCTCAAGCACTTCGAAAGCTTCTCCCCAGCGCTTCAGCCCGTTTGTTCTAAATAATGTACTTATCTCAAATTTCACAGAGCAGTAAAAGCAGGGTAAGATTTCTCCTCCAGGGGCTGGAGGTTGGCCCAGATGTTAAAATACACCTGAAATGGCTGCCTGTTGGAGTGCCTGTGTCCTGATTCCGGGGCACCCTGGGCCCGCTGTCCACTGGCTCGGACTGTTGAATCCCTGTCACCCACAGGGACGTCTCAGCCTGAGTTCTAGGCTCCTGCTTCGGCCTGGTCAGCTACAGGTGACATAGGATTTGGGGGTAATTCCTATCTTTTGGTTCACTTTCCAAATGGTCACAATGACTGGAGCTGAGATGATTTCAACCCAGGAGCTTCTTCTTGGTCTCCCGTGCAGGTGCAGGGAGCCCAGACCTTGGGCCCTCATCTGCTGTCTTCCCAGGCCACAAGCAGGGGTATTTAGACTCGAAGTGAAATAGCCAGAGTTAAAACTGGCGCCCAAATAGGATGCCGGCACCTCAGGTAGAATAATTAGCCTGTTATACATGGCACTGGCCCCTGAAATACGTTTTTTTTAAATTTACTTTTGGCTAACAAGAAGACACACACACAAACAGCCCGAATTTTGAAGACTGAGAAACGGCTCTCTGACTGCTTCACCAGTCTCCTGGCCAAATGCCTTCTAAAAGGCACCGTCGTGGCCAGAACACAGCAGGACAACAAGACACAGGATGTCCTCGGAGCTGCAGCACCGTCGTGGCCAGGACATAGCAGGACAAGACACAGGGTGTCCTCAGAGCTGCAGCACCGTCGTGGCCTGGACACAGCAGGCTCAGAGGCACAGGGTGTCCTCAGAGCTGCAGTACTGTCGTGGCCCGGACACAGCAGGACAACAAGACACAGGGTGTCCTCAGAGCTGCGGCACCGTCGTGGCCTGGACACAGCAGGACAAGACACAGGGTGTCCTCAGAGCTGCAGCACCATCGTGGCCTGGACACAGCAGGACAACAAGACACAGGGTGTCCTCAGAGCTGCGGCACCGTCGTGGCCTGGACACAGCAGGACAACAAGACACAGGGTGTCCTCAGAGCTGCAGCACTGTCATGGCCTGGACACAGCAGGCTCAGAGGCACAGGGTGTCCTCAGAGCTGCAGCACCGTCGTGGCCTGGACACAGCAGGACAAGACACAGGGTGTCCTCAGAGCTGCAGCACTGTCATGGCCTGGACACAGCAGGCTCAGAGGCACAGGGTGTCCTCAGAGCTGCGGCACCGTCGTGGCCTGGACACAGCAGGACAACAAGACACAGGGTGTCCTCAGAGCTGCGGCACCGTCGTGGCCTGGACACAGCAGGACAAGACACAGGGTGTCCTCAGAACTGCGGCACCGTCGTGGCCAGGACACAGCAGGCTCAGAGGCACAGGGTGTCCTCAGAGCTGCAGCACTGTCATGGCCTGGACACAGCAGGCTCAGAGGCACAGGGTGTCCTCAGAGCTGCGGCACCATCGTGGCCTGGACACAGCAGGACAACAAGACACAGGGTGTCCTCAGAGCTGTGACACCGTCGTGGCCTGGACACAGCAGGCTCAGAGGCACAGGGTGTCCTCAGAGCTGCAGCACCGTCGTGGCCTGGACACAGCAGGCTCAGAGGCACAGGGTGTCCTCAGAGCTGCAGCACCGTCGTGGCCTGGACACAGCAGGACAACAAGACACAGGGTGTCCTCAGAGCTGCGGCACCGTCGTGGCCTGGACACAGCAGGCTCAGAGGCACAGGGTGTCCTCAGAGCTGCAGTACTGTCGCGGCCTGGACACAGCAGGACAAGACGACACAGGGTCCCTTGGACCTGCAGGGTTAGTGTGGGACTCAGGGACAAGCAGTTCACCTTCGACGCTGCACACACATAGGAGAGCCCAGGGAAGACGGCTCTAAACTGCAGGCTGCAGGGTGCAGAACAAGCTGAGGACTCTAAAGCCACGGATCCAGGACCCCGGTGAGGGCAGGTTTCTGTGAATTATGTTCATATGGGTGCAGATCAGAGAAATTCTGAAATCTGCCAACACTGCTGGTTCCAGAGCCTTCAGGATCCAGGACACTCTCAGCCTGGACAGCCCGGTGACTATGAGTACTTCTCCCTGTTCCTGCTGGCTCCCCCAGTGGCACGGAGGACGTCTTCCTGCACCCTGCATGGCTCCCCCAACAACCCCGAGTACATCTCACTGCTCCCACTGGCTCCCCCAATGACACGGAGGACGTCTTCCTGCACCCTGCACGGCTCCCCTGCACCCTGCACGGCTCCCCTGCACCCTGCATGGCTCCTGGGCCCCAGGACACTCACAGTTCCATTTCACCTGTGAGAGCCTGGGCAACATTCCAACATCGCACAGCCATCGGGCCTTGGCCCTGGGTGGAAGCCGAGCCTGTCTGACGAGGAGTCCAAACCCTGTTCTCTTACCTGCACTATTATCAAAGACATTTACGTGAATCAAACTGATTCTCAAGGACATTTGTAGATGACAGTTTAAAAAAACAAACATACATCCAAAACCCTAAGCTAGCAGAAGCCAGTCCAATTATCTGTTGTATTCACAGAGCCTGTGCACATGTCACTCAACAGGGAGACTGAGTCATGAACAGCGCATGCGACCCCTGGGGCCGCCACCGCTGAGCCAGGGAGAACATCCACCCCAGCTCAACCCACCAACCCACCAACCCACCAACCCACCAACCCACCAAGCAGAGTTCACTCACACATCCAGGGCAAGAAATCTGCTACTGCTCCCAAAAAGGCCTTTCCTTCAAGAAAAGAAGGAATAATTCAATCTTTTTAAACATCTTATTTCTTGGGCCCAGCGTGGTGCTCTAGCGGCTAAAGTCCTTGCCTTGAACGCAACAGGATCCCATCTGGGCGTTGGTTCTAATCCCAGTGGCCCTGCTTCCCATCCAGCTCCCTGCCTGTGACCTGGGAAGGTAGCCGAGGATGACCCAAACCTTTGGGACCCTGCACTCATGTGGGACATCCAGAAGAGCTCCTGGCTTCGAATCAGCTCAGCACCAGCTACTGTGGTCACTTGGGAAGTGAATCATCAGATGAAAGATCTTCCTCTCTTTCCTCCTCTCTGTATATCTGACTTTGCAATAAAAATAAGTAAATCTTAAGAAAAAAATATCCTTCTTCTTGCCAAACTCGGAATGCAGACAGGTGACCCAGGCACCCAGTGGGCCTCACTCCTGCTCAGGGGACCCCAAGTGGACAGCCTTGGCCTGTTTGGCAGCAGCTCCTCCTAGCACCACTCCAGGAGGCTCTGACTACAGTCCAACTTCAGCTGGGCTTTCCAGGGGCCACCCAAAGAGCCATGCCTCCTGGGGCCGGCCCACCTGAACCCCAAGCCCCCATCCCATCGTGCTGAGTACCCAGGTTAGGTATGGTGAGGCACACAGACTGAGGACTGTAAGGTCACGCGGGAACGTGAGATCATTGCTGCAGCTGGGCAACGGGCCTGAGGGATCACTGTACTTCTGTGTGTGATCAAAGGTTGAACACAGTGTGACTATGCCTGTTAACACACACCCGACATACACCCACGCATATGGACACTGGCACAGGTGCAAACAGCAGCATGTAGGAACTGAGAAGACTTCAACGGCACAAACTGGACACCGGCAGGAAGCAAGAGGGCCCTGGGGCTCCCAGAGGAGCCTGTGTGGGACTCAGGTCCTGCACACTTTCCACACCGCCAAGGGAGAGATGGAAGAAGCAGTCCCTGGCTGAGAGCCCCTGAGCTTCCTGGGTGCATCTGCACCGTCACAGGCAAACCCTTGGCAGGGCAGAGCAACATGGCCCCACCTGGGAGACGGCCAAGGGCATCCCCAGGAGGAGCAGCTGCAGGCCTGAGCTGCACAGATACACACACACACCGCACATCAGACACACATCACACACACCACATTTCACGCACACCACACATCACACACACCACACACTCACCATACATCACACACACACCACACACCACACACCACACAGGCCTGGGCAGGATGCCTGCAGCTCAGGTCAGGGGAGGGCACTGTCTGGGTGCACTCCAGCAGTGAGCAAGTAGCGCCTGTGTCGTCACTGAAGGAAACAGGCAGGCGGAGCTCCAAGCTCCCAGGCAGCCCTGACACCCACCCCTCGCCACACCAGGGGGTTGGGGGGACACTGCCTGAGGGACTCAGCCCACCCCAAGGGGCGCTAGCAAAAGTCCTCCGTCATCAGGAATTCCTGCTTCACCACCAGGAGCTAGCAAACAAAAGGCTTCTTTGCATGGAGGGCAGAACTTAAAATATGGTAACAGAGATCCAGCAATGGGCTATGCCAGACTCTTAAAAGCCACTTGTACCCAGGAAAAAAACAAGCCTTGTCTTGGCATAAAAGATTAGCAAAATAGGTGAAAAGACCCATTCATGACAGAGTAAAATTTCACTATAGCCCCTCTCATCTGTCTTTTTTCACAAATTATAAATAGAAATTCTCCTCTAAGACTGAATAGAGTCCATTTGCATTCCTTTATTTCTGTACCAAAACAAAAACCAGGGGCATTGTGGCACAGTGTGGCACAGTGGGAGAAGATGTGGCTTGCAAGGCACCAGCATCCCGTTGCAGCACTTCTGACCCTCTGCCTGCTACTCCGCCGGGGACACAGCTATGGCTGCCCAAGTCTCTGGACCCCCGCCACTCCAGGGGAGACCCCCACAGAGCACAGAGCCCCTGGCTCCAGCTGCTGCAGAGACCTGGGAAGTGAACCAGAGGACGGAAGAGCTCTCTATCTCTCCCTCTCTCTTTCAAATAAGTAAATACATTTTAAGTGAAAATTTCCCAAGCTGGCCCTAAGAGCAAAGCCCTACATACTATGTCTGTCTACACACCCAGTTCTCAAACATAAACACAAGCGAAAGAATCACTTACCATCCAAAGCAAAAGAGTGCCAGGTAGAGGCCCAGAAGAGTGGCAATTCCATGTCTGATGAAAGAGCTAGTTCTGCTTGCATGTAGGTAAGTTCGAAACCAAACGGCTGCGAGCAAGGCAAAGAGTTGGCACACTACAAAGTTGACCTGTGAAGGGAACCAGAAGCTCACATCAGTTTAACATGTTTTTGGATTTTTCATTCCATGTTACGTGTAATTCTCAGGACAAACTCACAGAGTGCATCAAGCCGAGTCCTTCCCATCTGTGAAAGTCACAGCCACCCAAGGCCTCCCCAGGGAAGAGGTGCTCATTTCCGGGTGATGGGCCAATGCCTGTAGCCTGGCAGGAGTAGGGACAGTTGCAAGAAAAAGGGCAGGGGGTGGGCATGTATAGGCACTGGAGAGGCCCTGGGGACAGAGATGGAAAGCCAGTGTGGCTTTAGGGATGGAGCAACAGCTGATGAGGAGGTGGCCCTGTGACAGGAAGGACCAGCGCCAGGTCTCTGGGATGGGGGCCGGAGCAGGAGGGTCAGCCTCACGGGGCAGAGGCAGGGCCAGGAAACCTGTGGGAAGAGGGAGTGCAGGTGAGAGACACCAGGGCTCCCCAGGCCACCGAGGTCCAGGCTGAGGCCAGCCCAGCCGGAACTGCCCAGCAGTCTGTGTGCCTCCCCACATCCTGGGAAAGGGAAATGTGTCTTCAACAACCACAACTAAAAGACACGGACATCGAAGGCCACTGCTGGATGTGGCCCAGGAATTCACTGTTCTCTGGAACACTCAGTATGAGCCTGGTGGGTTCTCTTTAGGAGCCCACGTCGTGGCACAGCACATTAACCACCACCACCTGCAATGCTAGCACCCCACGTTGGAGCGGGGGTTCAAGTCCCAGCTGACCCACTTCCAATCCAGGCCCCTGTTAATGTGCCTGGGAGACAGAGGAGGATGCTCCAACTCCCAAGCGGGAAACTCGGACGGAATTCCCAGCTCCTGGCTTCTGCCTGACCCAGGGTCTGCTGGGGAGGACCAGCAAATGGAAGACTGTTCCTGCTTCTGTTTCCAACAAATTAATAAATCAGCCTGCAAAGTAACCCATGTCACTTAATAATTACAGCAACAAGAAAAACAAAGATCATATCACCAGAATGTATCAGAGCAGATCGGTGAAAACACAGACATGAAGATTGTCCAATACCTGCCAAAGATAAAAAATCAAAACCAATGAGAAGTAGGGAAAGTATTAGCAAGACCTGGCAGAGCCAGTCCCGTGACACACAGAAGACTCTCAGCCACAAGAATACGTGAACCATCCACACAGAAGCTGATTACAAGGCAGGAACCACATGACACGTCACGATCAGACAGAAATCCCGCTTGACCACAGGTGACAGCGGAGGAGCGAGCCCATCGGCAAGCAAGCCAGAGCAGAGCATAAGCTTCCTTAAGCAACTCCACGGCGACAGGTGGCCTGCCACAGTGCAGCCATCCTTGCTCGCACTGCAATGTACCACGGGTAAAGCCTCCACCCGCCCACAGGGCCCCCGGTGGCCCCAGGCCCTCACATGCTTGCCTGACAGCCACCCTGCCTGCTCAACTCCAATGTGAAGGCCATTTCAAGGAAGAAGAAACACGCAGTTAGCTGGGAAAACCTGTCTGGATCCAGGGTTCCGGACCCAGAGCCTCAGCCCCTGGCCAGTACGGTGAGCTCCCTGGTAAACAGTGACTGCCCTCACACAGCTGGGCCGGCCTCCCTGGGGCCTCGCGGGCAGCCAGGTGCCCTGGGGAGACAGGCCTGTGCACACCTGCTGCCTCCCTGCCTGCCCCAGGGAGATGAGGACCTCAGGAAAACTGTGGCACTCCCCCTTGTGTCTGACACACAAGACTGTTCACTTTGCTGCAGAACCCAAGGAAGCGCTCGCAGTTTCACTTCATGTTACCTGCCGCCACGTGCCCGTACCGACAGCTGTAGCTCCAGCCCATCGCGGGCTTGCGGCCCCGTGCCTCACCGTGTCCATGCCCAGAGATGCAATGCTGGGTAGAGCAAGTACCCCTGGACACGACACTGCTCAAACGCCTCCTCTGCACTGGCACACGTCCAAACCCCCACTGGCCAGGTGAGGCCCCCTTCCTTTCCTTCCAACAGTCGGTGCCCAAGGACTAAAATTCCTGCCAAGGTCTGCAGTATAAAACGTTTCTCGCTGTCTTTTAATTCCCAGCTCCCCTGACTACTAGTGCAGGCTGGGCGTCTTCCCTGCTTCTCAGACATCAGCTGCTTCTTTCCGTCTCTGGTCCATTTACAGGAACCGGTTCCCCATCTGATGACAGCAGGTGGGCGGCCTGTTGGCCTGCGAGCTTTCCTCATCATGAGCCCGAGGCAAGGCTTCTGTGGTCTGCGGGTTCCTTCCTTGGCATTTGCTTTACACACATACGTGCAACTGCACAGTATGTACAGCTGGACACACACTCGGGCCACTCCTGACCAATTTTTTTTAAAAAATAAAACATAAACTGAGTCAAAGCACTCAAGAGCCTGCACTTTCTGCCCCAGATGACAAAACACTGATCTGATCTATTCTCTACTTCAGCGAAATATCGCAGTGCTAACACTTTCTGATTCTGAGGGTGACACGGAGCCCTCACACCCACAGGAGGTCCACGGCAGGTCCAGCAGGTCCGTTACCAGAACAGCCAAAGGGGCTCCCAGGTCTGGGGGCTCCTGCTTCTGTACCCCTCCCTGCAGGTCCAAAGCTGAACCTGGTCTCACTGTTTCTCGTTCTCACTCAGGGTGGCCAACAAAGTGTAGACACACTGCGCGCAGATCCATGCCATCACCAGACTGGTCTGTACTTGGTGACTGTCACATCCCTCACTGAGACGCGACAAGGGAGACTCGAGGTGTTCAAGGACACATCACACTACACGCTGGCACAAAACCGTGCTTTCCGGGGTGACAGCCACAAGCCGCGAGCCAGGCGTGGCTGTGCACACTTGCCCAAGAGGACTTCAGAAAGTTCTTGGAAAATGGAATGAAAAGGTAAATGTATTTTGCTGCTTAGAATTTTTACCTCTTTAGGGCTGACGTGACACCGCAGCAGGCTGAGCACTGACCTACGAGGCCTGCATCCCACTTGGGTGCAGGTTCCTGTCCCAGCTGCCCCACTCCTGATCCAGCTCCCTGCGACTGTGTCTGGGAAAGCAGCAGAGGACAGCCAGGTACTCACGCCCCTGCACTCATGTGGGAGACCTGATGGAGTCCCAGGCTCCTGGCTTGGGCCTGGCCCAGCTCCAGCCATGGTGGCCCTTTGGGGAACAGACCTACGGATAGAAGCTCTCTCTCTCCCAGTCTCTCCCCCTTCTCTGTAACTATGCCTTTCAAATAAGTAAATCCTCCACAAAATGCCTTTTGAAATTAATGCATGCTTTTCCACATTTTCCATGACTTTTTGAAGAGCATCCTCAGACGTGGTTATACCAACTGAGCTGCGTTTTAATGCTAAGTACGTCAACCTTAAAAGAAATCAAGCATCTAAAAATATAAAGCATCTCATTAACAATTTTCATATTGATCCCGTATGTAGATATTTTAAACATACTGGTTAAATGAAACATGAGAATCCTGCTCTTTTAACTTTATTACCTGTCAGCAACTTTCTAAGTCTATGTGCGCGTAGTGACTCCCACTACATTCCTATCAGAACAGGCACAACTGATGCACTTTATCTCAAAAACTTTAACATTTTCTTCCTTTGTCTTATGAAAAAGTTACAAACTACCACATAGGCCAACTAACCGATTAATGATCTCAACACTAGAATTAAGCATTCGACAATAAGCTAATAATTTACTTCATAATAAACTTACGGTAAAAAAAAAAAAGCAACTTAAATGTTCAAGACAACACCAAATGATCACAAGCCACAGAGCACTAAAGTCAGTCCCCACAGCGGCTGGCACACCACAGTTGTGGACGGAGCAGAAACACACCCAGATGTGACTTTCCCGATGACACAAGGGGAGTCATGGGTAACACTTCTTTCTCAAGAGGATCGCAACGTGGACACCCCACCCAGCTGGGCAGGGTGAGAGCAGGAGGCAGGAACACACCACAGGGCCACACCCTCAGATATGTCCCAAGTTCCCCACATCCGAGCTGGGACCCAGAGTTCCCATTTGTGTGCCTGTATCCCCCGAGGCGGAGCTGACTGCCAATTGATATGGTCTGGAAACTTGTCTTGCATCAGCCAGCCAGCGTTGATGAGGCTCAGCGGCAAAGGAAGAGTCAGCTTGCAAACCTTTAAATAAGATGCCAGCAGCCACCTGCCACACCGCGGTTGTCTGACAACACCAAGAGTGGGCTCCCAAGCGCAGCAATGAGACGCCTCCCGCAGTCAGCTGCCACTTCCAAAACAACTCAGCCTCGTGCCCTGCCTGTGGGTGTGACCTGATGGCCATGGTTGCCAAAAGCAAGAGAAAGCCTTTTACCAGCAAAAACGACGGAATACACTGCAGGCTGTTCATCCCATGAAAAACACTGAACAACAAAAGCATAAGACCGCAAGCTTCTTACAACACAGACCAAACTCAATGCATAATGTTCTGCACAAGAAGCAATCCACCTCCTAGATCCACAGGTGACATAAAAACTCCATAAAAAGTGCCAAAACACAAGCTACAAAGCACACAGCCTGGGGAGGTTTGTGCCGTCACAGCAGTCAGCAGAACAAGCACCCGGGCAACCGGCTGGAGACCCAGGGACTCCCAGGGGCGGGCAACGACGCCAGGCAAGGTGCACCGAGCCTGCAGCTTCATCTGCCTCGTGAGCCACCGGTCGCAGGGCTCTGGGCTGCCTCCATCGGGAAGGGAAACATGAGAGCAGGGAAAGCTCCGCTCTGGTCTGAAAATGAGGCCACAGAGCACTGTTCCTGCGCCTCCTCAGGCCGGGCTGGGAAAAATGGTGGAGCTGTGGTCATGACAAAAGCAAACCGCTCCTATCAGCAGGCTCGGGGCACGGATGACAGCACAGAACCTTGGCCACTGCCACCCATGTGAGAGATCCCAACGAAGCTCCAGGGCTCATCCTGGCCTGGCTCCAGTTAGCGCAGGAATTTGGGAAGTGAACCAACAAGCAGAAGATCTCTTCCCCCTCCCTG